AAAAGAAGATAGCTGCATTTTTTCACAAAATGCAATCACTATATTATGAATTTCCATACATACACATGTATACATTTGTGTATGTGTACGAATGTGCATATGTGTCTGTCTGTATGTAAAAACATATACCTACTGTATATATATGTATATATACTGTATATATGTATATATATACTATATATATATAATATACATGTATAGTATATATACGTGTACTTTCTATGCGAGTGTGGATATATACTATTCAGTGTTTTAAATAAACTATTAACGTTTTTCTTTTACTGTATCCTAGCTGATCCTTGCCTGTGTCGCCGCTGTGGCAGTTGCCGCCCCTCAGTACAGCTACGATGGTCCACGTGCTGTGTCCAGTGAGGAGCGCGAGTTTGTCCCAATCCTTAAGGACGACCGCGTCCACGAAGAAGATGGAACTTACAACTTCGACTTCGAAGCTGCCAACGGCATCAGCTTCTCTCAGGCTGGATCCCCCGACGGTGATGAGGACGCTGTAATCAAGGCTGGAGAATACTCGTGAGTATTAAGGATGTCTTTAGTCTTTATATCAATTCATCTGGCTCAATTGAAATTGTTTCACTGTATTTTGTTGGGTGCTTTAAATTGACAACTGGTATGTTACAGGTACACTGCTCCTGACGGCACTGAAATCCACCTTACCTTCGTGGCTGACGAGAACGGCTTCCAGCCTCAGGGTGACCACCTGCCAGTGGCTCCTGAGTTCCCTCACCCAATCCCTCAGTTCGTCCTCGACCAGATCGCAAAGGCCGCCGAGGAGGACCGCAACCGCGCCCGCAGCGACGACTCCGATGAAGTTTCCGTCCCATCCAGCCTCTACGGACGCCCTAACTAAATTTCATAAAGATATTTATTCTATTTATGATAGAAATAGAACTTTAAATGAATGCGTTGTATTGCTGACCTTATCTAAATAATGCATGTACTATCTTTGAACAAGTCTTACTGTCTCCGATATACTGAAGCACACAATCAGAGTTACGTTTAGCTTATGGAAGTGTAAATGTTTGTAGGAACCTCTACCGTAGTATGTATAGTATTTTAGCTCAGTAAGCTAAAGGGTTAATACACGATTTAAATTTTGGGACATTCCTGGGCTAGTTTCTGATTTGGGTCGTCCCGACACAGTAGATGTACTAAAGTGACTTTCAAGTTAAAAAATTATAACGTTTGGTGGGATATCAATTGCTGCTTTGACTGTTGACATGAACGCTAACAGTTAAAAGAAACAGAAAAAAAATCTAGAACCATACGCTTAAAGTGTTTTCAAGTATTTTTTTTCTTTTCTTTTAATGATCGTAGTTATACATATATATCATACATATATATTTGCATACAAATAAATAGATACACAAACACACACAGATAATATGTGTGTGTGGGTGGGGTGGGTGTGCTTATATATATACATATATATGAAAGATATACATATGTACATATGTGTTACACATGTATGTATTTGCATATTTATCTATTTATTTATTCATTTATTTATATATTTATATATAAATTACTTTTATTTTTTATCATACTAGTTCCATGCAAATTATTTGCCTTTTCATACAAGAGTAATGAAAACAAAGTTTTAAATATAATCTCCATGGGCATTTGTTAGTTCTGATTCAGAAATCTAAATGCGATGTCAGTTTTCTATGACAAGTAGCATATTGTAGCAACACATTCAAATAGATGTAGAACTATCTTTCCTGACAAAGACTCGAAAAGGGCATTCTCAGTATGTCTAAGGATAAGTAGTGTTTCAAATTAATACGTTACTGAGTCCCTCTCTCTCTCTCTCTCTCTCTCTAAATATATATATCTGCGGAAAAAATACAGTGAGACGAATTGTGATATGTTTATGTAGAGATACATTATATGCAAAAACCTTACACGTCCGAATGACGAAAATAGAGTATACACACATACCAAATTCATTATAAAAAAAGAAACCCATCGCATTCAGAAAGGGAAAATAAAAGAACGATGAAAGGATTATTCGAAGAGGAAAGTAATCAATGAAGGTGAAGGTTTTCGTTTGTGGGTGTGGATATTTTTTCTGCCTTGTCCGTTGCAAGGCCGTTCCCTGTTCTATATAAGACTGTCTGCCTTCGTCTCAAGCACCAGTAACCACTGAGCCATCATCATGAAATTCGTAAGTAACCTATGGTGGAACAAGACCCAAAACAAAGATGTTTTCATCATTCTGTACTATTTTTATGTGGTAAAATAACGGTAGTTTGTACATATTTACTAAAATTTCGAAAGGAAAAAGAAGATAGCTGCATTTTTTCACAAAATGCAATCACTATATTATGAATTTCCATACATACACATGTATACATTTGTGTATGTGTACGAATGTGCATATGTAAAAACATATACCTATTGTATATATACTGTATATATATATATCTACTGTATATATGTATATGTATACTATATATATATATAATATACATGTATAGTATATATACGTGTACTTTCTATGTGAGTGTGGTTATATACTATTCAGTGTTTTATATAAACTATTAACGTTTTTCTTTTACTGTATCCTAGCTGATCGTTGCCTGTGTCGCCGCTGTGGCAGTTGCCGCCCCTCAGTACAGCTACGATGGCCCACGTGCTGTGTCCAGTGAGGAGCGCGAGTTTGTCCCAATCCTTAAGGACGACCGTGTCCACGAGGAAGATGGAACTTACAACTTCGACTTCGAAGCTGCCAACGGCATCAGCTTCTCTCAGGCTGGATCCCCCGACGGAGATGAGGACGCTGTGATCAAGGCTGGAGAATACTCGTGAGTATCAAGGATGTCTTTAGTCTTTATATCAATTCATCTGGCTCAACTGAAATTGTTTCACTGTATTTTGCTGGGTGCTTTAAATTGACAACTGGTATGTCACAGGTACACTGCTCCTGACGGCACTGAAATCCACCTTACCTTCGTGGCTGACGAGAACGGCTTCCAGCCTCAGGGTGACCACCTGCCAGTGGCTCCTGAGTTCCCTCACCCAATCCCTCAGTTCGTCCTCGACCAGATCGCAAAGGCCGCCGAGGAGGACCGCAACCGCGCCCGCAGCGACGACTCCGATGAAGTTTCCGTCCCATCCAGCCTCTACGGACGCCCTAACTAAATTTCATAAAGATGATATTTATTCTATTTATGATAGAAATAGAACTTTAAATGAATGCGTTGTATTGCTGACCTTATCTAAATAATGCATGTACTATCTTTGAACAAGTCTTACTGTCTCCGATATACTGAAGCACACAATCAGAGTTACGTTTAGCTTATGGAAGTGTAAATGTTTGTAGGAACCTCTACCGTAGTATGTATAGTATTTTAGCTCAGTAAGCTAAAGGGTTAATACACGATTTAAATTTTGGGACATTCCTGGGCTAGTTTCTGATTTGGGTCGTCCCGACACAGTAGATGTACTAAAGTGACTTTCAAGTTAAAAAATTATAACGTTTGGTGGGATATCAATTGCTGCTTTGACTGTTGACATGAACGCTAACAGTTAAAAGAAATAGAAAAAAATCTAGAACCATACGGTTAAAGTGTTTTCAAGTATTTTTTTTCTTTTCTTTTAATGATCGTAGTTTTCTAATTTATAATTATATCTACAGAAGAAATTATCGGTGTGTCTAGAGTTATTGGCCAGACTGACTTCTTTAAAAAGTAAACATCCACAGCAACGTCTGCGATAAATTTTCGTTTCCACGGTCGCCTTATAGAAAACTTATATTTACTCTATTTCATGTCGAAATAGAATTTTTGCATTCATGCAATGTATTATTCGGTTTTCAGGGAACACATTTCAAATAAGGTATTCACAGTATAAATATATGTGTGTGTGTGTGTGCATATATACACATATACATACAGTATTTATATACATTCAATATGTATATACATAAATATATATGTTTGTGTTATGCAAAATATATATATATACATATATATAATTATATATGTATGTGGGCACCCCACACACATATGAGTGTGTGTGTGTGTCTGATACATATACAAGGTGACTCATTTGCAGAAAAAATAAACGTATGCAGAATATATATAGGAATATTTTTAGATAGATATACACATAAATATTATACATATACATACCGCTATACATTATATATACATATATATCATACATATATATTTGCATACAAATAAATAGATACACAAACACACACAGATAATATGTGTGTGTGGGTGGGGTGGGTGTGCTTATATATATACATATATAGAAAGATATACATATGTACATATGTGTTACACATGTATGTATTTGCATATTTATCTATTTATTTATTCATTTATTTATATATTTATATATAGATTACTTTTATTTTTTATCATACTAGTTCCATGCAAATTATTTGCCTTTTCATACGAGTAATGAAAACGAAGTTTTAAATATAATCTCCATGGGCATTTGTTAGTTCTGGTTCAGAAATCTAAATGCGATGTCAGTTTTTTATGACAAGTAGCATATTGTAGCAACACATTCAAATAGATGTATAACTATCTTTCCTGACAAAGACTCGAAAAGGGCACTCTCAGTATGTCTAAGGATGAGCAGTGTTTCAAGTTAATACGTTACTGAGTCCCTCTCTCTCTCTCTCTCTCTCTCTCTAAATATATATATCTGCGGAAAAAATACAGTGAGACGAATTGTGATATGTTTATGTAGAGATACATTATATGCAAAAACTTTACACGTCCGAAAGACGAAAATAGAGTATACACACATACCAAATTCATTATAAAAAAAAAAAAAAAACATCGCATTCAGAAAGGGAAAATAAAAGAACGATGAAAGGATTGTTCGAAGAGGAAAGTAATCAATGAAGGTGAAGGTTTTCGTTTGTGGGTGTGGATATTTTTTCTGCCTTGTCCGTTGCAAGGCCGTTCCCTGTTCTATATAAGACTGTCTGCCTTCGTCTCAAGCACCAGTAACCACTGAGCCATCATCATGAAATTCGTAAGTAACCTATGGTGGAACAAGACCCAAAACAAAGATGTTTTCATCATTCTGTACTATTTTTATGTGGTAAAATAACGGTAATTTGTACATATTTACTAAAATTTCGAATGAAAAAAAGATAGCTGCATTTTTTTCACAAAGTGCAATAACTATATTATGAATTTCCATTCATACACATGTATACATTTGTGTATGTGTAAGAATGTGCATATGTGTCTGTATGTAAAAACATACCTACTGTATATATATGTATATCTACTGTATATATGCATATCTACTGTATATATGTACATATACTATATATATAATATACATGTATAGTATATATACGTGTACTTTCTATGTGAGTGTGGATATATACTATTCAGTGTTTTAAATAAACTATTAACGTTTTTCTTTTACTGTATCCTAGCTGATCGTTGCCTGTGTCGCCGCTGTGGCAGTTGCCGCCCCTCAGTACAGCTACGATGGCCCACGTGCTGTGTCCAGTGAGGAGCGCGAGTTTGTCCCAATCCTTAAGGACGACCGCGTCCACGAGGAAGATGGAACTTACAACTTCGACTTCGAAGCTGCCAACGGCATCAGCTTCTCTCAGGCTGGATCCCCCGACGGTGATGAGGACGCTGTGATCAAGGCTGGAGAATACTCGTGAGTATTAAGGATGTCTTTAGCCTTTATATCAATTCATCTGGCTCAATTGAATTTGTTTCATTGTATTTTGTTGGGTGCTTTAATCTGACAACTGGTATGTCACAGGTACACTGCTCCTGACGGCACTGAAATCCACCTTACCTTCGTGGCTGACGAGAACGGCTTCCAGCCTCAGGGTGACCACCTGCCCGTGGCTCCCGAATTCCCTCACCCAATCCCTCAGTTCGTCCTCGACCAGATCGCAAAGGCCGCCGAGGAGGACCGCAACCGTGCCCGCAGCGACGATTCCGATGAAGTTTCCGTCCCATCCAGCCTCTACGGACGCCCTAACTAAATTTCATAAAAAGAAAAACGATATTTATTCTATTTATGATAGAAATAGAATTTTAAATGAATGCTTTGTATTGCTGACCTTATCTACGTAATGCATACCCTATGTTTGAACAAATCTTACTGTCTCCGATATACGTAGCACACAATCCCAGTTACGTTTAGTTTATGGAACTGTAAATCTGCCGTGGTCTGTTTAGTATTTTAACTGAGTGGGTTAAAAAGTTAGTTTTAGGGCCATTCCTGGCTGGCTTGTGATTTGGACCATCCCGACATAGATGTACTAAGGTGACTTCTGATTCTTAAAAAATGATAGAGTTCGATGTGAAGACTGGTTCACTTCCTTTGGCATAATCACTGCATTGAATGTTAAAAAAAAAAAAAAACATCGCATTCAGAAAGGGAAAATAAAAGAACGATGAAAGGATTATTCGAAGAGGAAAGTAATCAATGAAGGTGAAGGTTTTCGTTTGTGGGTGTGGATATTTTTTCTGCCTTGTCCGTTGCAAGGCCGTTCCCTGTTCTATATAAGACTGTCTGCCTTCGTCTCAAGCACCAGTAACCACTGAGCCATCATCATGAAATTCGTAAGTAACCTATGGTGGAACAAGACCCAAAACAAAGATGTTTTCATCATTCTGTACTATTTTTATGTGGTAAAATAACGGTAATTTGTACATATTTACTAAAATTTCGAATGAAAAAAAGATAGCTGCATTTTTTCACAAAATGCAATAACTATATTATGAATTTCCATTCATACACATGTATACATTTGTGTATGTGTAAGAATGTGCATATGTGTCTGTATGTAAAAACATACCTACTGTATATATATGTATATCTACTGTATATATGCATATCTACTGTATATATGTACATATACTATATATATAATATACATGTATAGTATATATACGTGTACTTTCTATGTGAGTGTGGATATATACTATTCAGTGTTTTAAATAAACTATTAACGTTTTTCTTTTACTGTATCCTAGCTGATCGTTGCCTGTGTCGCCGCTGTGGCAGTTGCCGCCCCTCAGTACAGCTACGATGGCCCACGTGCTGTGTCCAGTGAGGAGCGCGAGTTTGTCCCAATCCTTAAGGACGACCGCGTCCACGAGGAAGATGGAACTTACAACTTCGAATTCGAAGCTGCCAACGGCATCAGCTTCTCTCAGGCTGGATCCCCCGACGGTGATGAGGACGCTGTGATCAAGGCTGGAGAATACTCGTGAGTATTAAGGATGTCTTTAGCCTTTATATCAATTCATCTGGCTCAATTGAAATTGTTTCACTGTATTTTGTTGGGTGCTTTAATCTGACAACTGGTATGTCACAGGTACACTGCTCCTGACGGCACTGAAATCCACCTTACCTTCGTGGCTGACGAGAACGGCTTCCAGCCTCAGGGTGACCACCTGCCCGTGGCTCCCGAATTCCCTCACCCAATCCCTCAGTTCGTCCTCGATCAGATCGCAAAGGCCGCCGAGGAGGACCGCAACCGTGCCCGCAGCGACGATTCCGATGAAGTTTCCGTCCCATCCAGCCTCTACGGACGCCCTAACTAAATTTCATAAAAAGAAAAACGATATTTATTCTATTTATGATAGAAATAGAATTTTAAATGAATGCTTTGTATTGCTGACCTTATCTACGTAATGCATACCCTATGTTTGAACAAATCTTACTGTCTCCGATATACGTAGCACACAATCCCAGTTACGTTTAGTTTATGGAACTGTAAATCTGCCGTGGTCTGTTTAGTATTTTAACTGAGTGGGTTAAAAAGTTAGTTTTAGGGCCATTCCTGGTTGGCTTGTGATTTGGACCATCCCGACATAGATGTACTAAGGTGACTTCTGATTCTTAAAAAATGATAGAGTTCGATGTGAAGACTGGTTCGCTTCCTTTAGCATAATCACTGCATTGAATGTTAAAAAAAAACAAATGCTAGCAGCAAAAGAAACAAACCTGATCCTTTTTACGCGGGGAAAAAATTTGGGCCCAAGTGCACCGAAGTCATTTTGAAAGTGTCTGCAGTTCTTTTATATAAAGGTATGCCTATACGGAAATTATCTACCGGTTTCTTGACCATACCGCCTTTTCATAAAGAGAGGAAGAACAGTTACAAAAACATCTACGGTGAATTTTCGCTTCTCACCTTCTACAGCTGTCCTAACGAAAACTTAATGTTCTCTATTTAATTTCAAAATAGAACTTTTGAATTAATTGATTAATCCCAGAGTCAGGGTTGAACTGAGGACCGTCTCAATATATTTCAATCTAAGATAACTCACCATGACACTTATTTATTCTGCAAGATGGTGCAAGTTATTTCTTGTACGAGGGAGAGACTTCGCTAGAACTATAAACGTATACCTTATACTCTACAAATATACCACTGCTTAATCTGTTTCCAAGTAACAGAAAAGCAATCGATTATTAATCGATTATCGATCGCAAAAGTAATCGAAGCAATCGATTGCAAAAAAAAATGAGTATCGCCCATCATTAATACATATACATACATACATATATATACCATAAATATATATAAGGTGACTTTGGATGCATATATACATATATATAGATATGAATGTATCCATAACACCATAGACTTGGATGCATATATACATATATATAGATATGAATGTATCCATAACACCATATATACATATATATGATGATTCATATATTTGTGTGCCTATATATGTATGTATATATGTGTGTGTGTCTGTGTGTATATGAAAGTACAATATATATAAATTTATATGTATATACGCGCATAGCTGTGTGTGTGTGTTTATATACCATTCAGACCTACCTATATGCATATGAATAAGTCTTGAAAATACACTCATGTTAATCTGGGTCCAAGTGATCGTGTGAATGAAAAAGCAAACGTGTGTGGAAAAAAAGGAGAAAAAACGGGAAATCTATTAAGTGCATTGTATAGAATAGTATTCAAGTAGAACCATCGATAACCCAAAGCAGAAACGAATGTGTGTGCTGATATATAATAGCATTTGCACGCACTACATTTTACAGATAATCGTTTATTTTCTAACTCCTCGCATGTCATTTCTTTCCTCTTCTCTATCCATATGCGAAAAAAACAGGCCGGTTGTAACAGGCCTAGTAATAGAAAAAAAAATGATATGCATATCCATAATACATTCCTTTAAGGGCACTCTTAAAATATTTTGGTATATTTGAAATATATGATTGACATTCTAAGATAGTTGTCCATATTCCCTTTGGCTTAGTTCAAAAATATTAAAAGGTAGCGTAGTGGCTTTGCTCATAATGGATACCTACCACGAGTGTGTATATGCATACGTATGCACGTATTTATTTGTGAATGTATATGTATGTGTGTATGTGCACGGGTGCGTGTACCTGTGTGTTTGTGTGAACATTTGAATGCAAAGGACATTCATGATCGTGAAACTTCAGTGATAAAGGTAAATGCCCCCCTATCCAAAAAAATGGCTCACGAACAGAAATGTTAAACAGACTGCTGAGGGTAAAGGTTACTTCTGCGGCTGTGGAGAGATTTTAGGGGCCTTGTCAGTGGCAAGGTCGGAATGAACTACAGTATATAAGGTCAGCTGACTTCTTCTCAAGCACCAGTAACCACTGACCCATCACCATGAAATTCGTAAGTAACTTTTGGCAAGATTTCAGTGTATACGATTCGTGTGTGTATCAGCATTGTGAGCATCTTGACATCAAGGGGACTCCATACCTTTTCCAAAAAATGTGTGCGTTCGTGTTCCGCATGTCTTCCAACTAATAGATTGGATACCATATGCTTTAGAAATTTAAGTACATACGTTTCGCATGCAACGCTGTAAAATAGCAAATTTCTGATATTCCAGCTGATCCTCGCCTGTGTCGCCGCCGTGGCCGTTGCCGCCCCTCAGTACAGCTACGATGCTCCTCGTGCTGCGTCCAGTGAGGAGCGCGAGTTCGTCCCAATCCTCAAGGACGACCGCGTCCACGAGGAAGATGGAACTTACAACTTCGAATTCGAAGCTGCCAACGGCATCAGCTTCTCTCAGGCTGGATCCCCCGACGGTGATGAGGACGCTGTGATCAAGGCTGGAGAATACTCGTGAGTATTAAGTTTGTCTTTAGTCTTTATATCAATTCATCTGGCTCAGTTGATATTGTATCACTGTATTTTGTTGGGTGCTTTAAACTGACAACTGGTATGTCACAGGTACACTGCTCCTGACGGCACTGAAATTCACCTTACCTTCGTGGCTGATGAGAACGGCTTCCAGCCCCAGGGCGACCACCTGCCCGTGGCTCCCGAATTCCCTCACCCAATCCCTCAGTTCGTCCTCGACCAGATCGCCTTCGCCGCCGAGGAGGACCGCAAACGCGCCCGTAGCGACGACTCCGATGAAGTTTCCGCCCCATCTGGCCTCTACGGACACCCCAACTAAATTCTCATATGATGTATTTATTCTATTTATCATCAAAATAGAACCTTAAATGATTGCAGTCTATTACCCTACCTTACCTAAATAATGTTATTTTGTGCATATATAAGCATATATATTGCATTTGATGCATATATACACATATATGTATGTATGTGTATCTAAAGTGCATCCATATTGATGTAGGTTATAAGTCCTAGGCATTCATTGTCTATATCTACCGTCGTCACTTTCAATCGCTAAGCATCCAAACACTTCTTACTTACGGCCTTTGACTTCCATTCTCCTCTCAGTCTCATTCTTCACAAGCCCCACTCTTTTTGAGGCGTCACTAATCCAGTTTTTTGTTTTCTTAATCATTTCGATCTACTATCCCAAAAACAGCCTCATTTGTAAAACGACCCGTATCCTTTACCTTGTCTAGTCTTCTCTAGACATTTCGAATGCTCCTAACCTTGTAATGTAAATTTTGGGCATCAAGTTTCAGAGCCACAAATACCACAGTCTAGTCTAGTTTTTTTTTTTTTTTTTTTATTTTCTTTGCCGCAGCTGCTCTGGATATTCTTTCAATGTCACACCTGCCATTATCACTGAATAAAGCTCTTCGGTATTTAAGACTGGCCAATTATGTAATTTTGTTAGTCTAATGCGATACTGGCAACACTAGCTTCCTTTGAAATTTCCATTTCTACTATCATCTTCATGTCATATCCATTGTACTGTTCTGTTTAATACATACATTGTTCATTACATATCCATACTGTCTAAATTAAAAGTTATCCATATAGAAAGACCGCGGCGACATTATTCAATCCACCACCAAACACAAACAGTCGTTATAGGGTAGGGAGGGTAGGGCCAAAACATCCAGAAACTAAATCTGGTTGGTAATCCCTTTCTTCCACAATATGTTAAACGAATGAACGGAGAACAAGTCGCAGTAAAGAAGGGAAGGAAGGAAGGTTAAGATATTGAAATTTTCACAGTCGAAAACAACAGATAAAAACAATCCAAGACCGTCTCCTGGAGAGAGGGCCGATTTAAGGTCGGCGGATGGATGGGTCATGATCAAGATTGGTGATCAGGTTGCACTTATTCGTGAAACATATTTGTATATATGTATATGTGTGTGTGTATGTATAGTGACTGAGTGTGTGTGTAAATAAATAAATATATACATATATATGCGCATATATATACATATGTATTTAAATTCTTACAAATATGTGTATTTAAATGCACAATTAAATATTTGTACACACATATATGTATATACTTACATATATGCGTGTGTGTGTCCGTGTGCGTGTGTGTGTATGTGTGTGCATGTGTGTGTGTGTGTGTATGTGTGTGTGTGTGTGTGTGTGTGTGTGTGTGTGTGTGTGTGTGCGCGCGCACTTATACATATACGTATATATATATGATATACAGTATCTACATATACACATATATGTATATACTTACATATATGTGTCTGTGTATGCCCGTGTGTGTGTGTGTGCGTGTGTGTGCACACGTATACATGTGTGTATATAATATATATACAGTATGTATATGTACACATATGTATTTATATACTTACATATGTGTGTATTTGAATAAATGAATAAACAAAAAAAATATACACAAATATATGTATATACTTACATACGTGTCTGTGTGTATATGTGTGTCCGTGTGTGTGTGCGCGCGCGTGTGCGCACGTATATTTATGTGTATATATAATATACGGTATGTATATATATGCATATATATACATATATGTGTGTGTGTGTGCATGTATACGTATAGTATGTGTCTGCTAAGAGCCATGTCAGTAGAATTAATCTTACCATAACTACAGCATTGTCCAAAAGTGGATCAGATATAATATATTCAGTTAAAATTATTGAGAGCACATCCATTATCGGGGAATAAATTCAGTTTACTGTAGCTTAGAGATACATTTTCTAAAAATAAAAAGTCTATAGTTCCTGAAGAACAGAGCTTATTATTCCATAAAATACAAATAGAAATGTATTGACATTTAACTCTCTTCAAAGATCATATACTAGATGAAACATCATAATAGTGTATGAATTATACCCTTGTGTATAACAATGTTTTTTGTGGATGAAACACTATCGTTTTCTGTAGGGTCAGTAAAGTCATGTTAAAGGCAGAGTACGTTCATTCACAAAATACGAGAACAAAAATCCTCAAAGGTATTTTTATAAGACTGGTGGGACAAGTGAGGAAGACGTAAATCGAAGAGGAAAATAATTAAAGTCAAGGTGAAGGTTCCGTCAGTGTTTCTGAACGCCGTCTGTAGGAAGGTCGGTCTGAGCTATATAAGCTTTGTTGACATCGTTTCAGGCACCAGTAACCACTGATCCACCATCATGAAGTTCGTAAGTAATTCGTGATGAAGCTAAGCCAAATTTGGGCATCTGATTGTTCTTATAATAGTAGTTTATTGGAACTTTAAGGTGACTGACCTCGAATGCATTGGGGAGTTGTGCACTATAATATCCAAATATTTGAGTGAAGACCGTTTTACTATAATCCCTTGTAACATTACTGTACAGCTGATCCTCGCCTGTGTCGCCGCCGTGGCCGTTGCCGCCCCTCAATACAGCTACGATGGTCCTCGTGCTGCGTCCAGTGAGGAGCGTGAGTTCGTCCCAATCCTCAAGGACGACCGTGTCCACGAGGAAGACGGAACCTACAACTTCGATTTCGAAGCTGCCAACGGCATCAGCTTCTCCCAGGCTGGATCCCCCGATGGTGATGAGGACGCGGTGATCAAGGCTGGAGAATACTCGTGAGTATTACGAAGTTTGTAATTCTTATTTCAGTTGATTTGGCTTCACTGGTATATCTATTGTATTTTTCTATAACTCCTAAATTGACAAATTATTTGTTACAGATACACTGCTCCTGACGGCACTGAAATCCATCTCCGTTATGTGGCTGACGAGAACGGCTTCCAGCCCCAGGGTGACCACCTGCCCGTGGCTCCCGAGTTCCCCCACCCAATCCCTCAGTTTGTCCTCGACCAGATCGCCTTCGCCGCCGAGGAGGACCGCAAACGCGCCCGCAGCGACGACTCCGATGAAGTTTCCGCTCCTTCAGGACTCTACGGCCACCCCAACTAAACAGACATGAACCATGTATTTATTCTATTTATGCTCAGAATAGAATTTTAAATGATTGTAGAGTATTACCCACCCTTCGCTGCATTTTTTTTTTTTTTATGCTGGTACAATGATAATCTCATCGTCTGTGAGATCCACAATTTCTCTGAGACCCATTTTCAATTGTTATCAGTGCTGTGGGTAGAAAATATCTGGATCATCTGATCCTAGCAAGACAGACAGTGTTAAGATATTTCGCTTCGTTTCTAAGATATTTCCAAGAGTAAGTAGGTGTGAATCCTACTAGGAGTGTATAATCACACATCCACGCACACATATATACATATAAAAATACATATATACATGCGTACACAATATAAAAAAAATATATATACTTATATATATGAATATATATATACCCGTGTAATAATAATGGGATTTTCTTTAAACAAAATGAAAGGATATGTTTGAAATAAGATTTATATATGTATATGTATGTGTTTGTATAGTTATGATGAATGTCTGAGCAAGTAATTTTGTAAATTTTGCTCTTATTAATGGCGTAAGTAAGATAAGTAGAGAAAGAGAGAAAGTGAGGGAGTAAGATAAGTAGAGAAAGAAAGAAAGTGAAGGAGTAAGATAAGTAGAGAAAGAAAGAAAGTGAGGGAGTGGGGCAGACAGACGAACGGGAGAAAAGAAAAAGCATGAGTCTTTCATGTACCACGTACCTGTTTTTTTCCTATATACTGATGTGAGAAAACCTCAAATTCATACTGTCAATGATACAATGATACTGTTAACGTAAAGAACGTTTGCTGATTACATGCAAAGTTGAGGGAAAATACTGTTTCAGAAGAGTAACACCTGTATAGTAGCTCGTTTAGCTTCACTAACATCTCCAAATCCACAGTCGTAATCCAGCCTCCCCATCTTATGCTCTATTAAATCCACCCATTATCACGGTGGCTGTAAACAGAAACGCCGTCTGTGTCTTATGTGGATGTATAATATTGATCGGTGTAGGTTAGTAGCCCAGACCTGACATTGACCTACTTGCCTGTGTGTATTGCTTTCCGGTTTGATGATAGGCCTAGAGTGCAGGCAGTGTGTTAATGGTAAGTTTTTGATCAAGTTGCAGCCTCTTTCTCAAGGCATCTTAGTGGTAAATTTTCTTTCCAGAGTAGATCTTAATCATGCATTCTACAGAGTAAAGAGAGAAAAGCGTAGATAGATCTTTATGGATAAAAATAAAAACATATGCAAGCTTACATACGTATCTGCGTACGCTCGCGCGCTCTTGTGTGTGTTGTCCTTTTTCCTTTCTGTCTTATACCCTTTTTCTCTTCTTCAATGTCTTAATCGCTCTCAATATATGGAAGATGTATGTATATGCACAGATATCATATATATGTGTGTGTGAATATATATATATATATATATATATGTTTATATATTTGTATATATATACTCAATCTTTATTCACCTATTTTGAGTATGAATCTGGAGCACTGTAAATAGTTAACAAATTAGTTATATATAATGACAGCATATTCAATGTAACTTTGTGGTTATAAGAAAGAACTTTTGCTATTCATAAAATGTAAAATAATCATATCCAAGGAACTGATTTCACAAAGCAATAACGAGGTGACAGAGAAATGGTTCGAAGAAAATGAATTAAAGGCGAAGGTTACATCTGTGGAATGCGGTATATATCTGGACCTTGTCCGTGGCAAGGCCGGCCTGAAGTATAAAAGATCAGTTGACTTTGTGTCAAGCACCAGTAACTACTGAGCCATCATCATGAAGTTCGTAAGTAGTTTATGGCGGTGCATATTATTCATCCCTAGTGATGATTGGTACAGCTACATTTCAGTGATTAGTCTTTATACAGTAATATTAAAGTGATCATTAACTGCACGTCTTTTAACCTGTGTAACATATCTTTTATGACTACAGCTGATCCTCGCCTGTGTCGCCGCCGTGGCCGTTGCCGCCCCTCAGTACAGCTACGATGCTCCTCGTGCTGCGTCCAGTGAGGAGCGCGAGTTCGTCCCAATCCTCAAGGACGACCGCGTCCACGAGGAAGACGGAACTTACAACTTCGACTTCGAAGCTGCCAACGGCATCAGCTTCTCCCAGGCTGGATCCCCCGACGGTGATGAGGACGCTGTGATCAAGGCTGGAGAATACTCGTGAGTATTACGGAATTTTCCAATCCTTATTCCAATTAATTTGGCCTCACTGATTTTGATTTTTATAGCATTCTTTCTGTAAGTCCTACATTGATAAATGGTATGTTACAGGTACACTGCTCCTGACGGCACTGAAATCCACCTTACTTTCGTGGCTGACGAGAACGGCTTCCAGCCTCAGGGTGACCATCTCCCAGTGGCCCCCGAGTTCCCCCACCCAATCCCTCAGTTCGTCCTCGACCAGATCGCCTTCGCCGCCGAGGAGGACCGCAAACGCGCCCGCAGCGGCGACTCCGACGAAGTTTCCGTTCCTTCAGGACTCTACGGCCAGCCCAACTAAACTAACATAATATTTATTCTATTTATGATCACAATAGAATGTTTAGCTAATCTGGTGTTTTAGCCAACCTTAAATGCATAATCCCTCACTAGCACCATATATCTAAAAAAAATATGAATATAAAGAGTCAAAAGAGCATAGCCGTTGCTACCAAATGCTCACAAAAAAAATCAAGAAAGCCACGCTATTAGTGTTCTAGTATCTGTAGATAACTATTGATTTTGCCTGAACATTAGTGGACAATTTCCTTTTTGTTATACAAGTCTGATAATTTTGGGTATGTGGCTTCAAATTGTGCAAAGTATGATTATATCTATATCAACAAAATGTTGTAGGGATAAGAAATTTCAAAGAAAAGAAAGTATCATATAATGGGATATGATTAGTGCGAAAACACGATGTGATGGTTTCATCAATACAAAATACATATAAAGGGATAAACAGACAAAAATCGAGACAGGGAGGGAAGAGAAACAAATATAGAGAGATACAATAGATTTCTAAATAAGTGTGCATGTTTATAGAAAGAAAATGTGTCCTAATGACATGTCTTGAATACATGTAAGTACACTGAAATCCCGACTCTGTACTAAAAGATATCTGAATCACTATAATTACAACGGATTCAGCTTGCAAATGCACTACACATGACTTAGTGTGTCAGTTGAACTACAGCTATGTCTACATATCATCAGAATTACAACCTCTTTAACATATAAAAAGTGGTATAAAAGATGTAACATTAAAATTAAGCAACAGCAAAGTACCACATCTACGAGAATTTGTGATAAACAAGTTATAAACAAAACAACGAAGAAAGAGAGGTTAACAATCGATGTTACCCCAGACCTTTTCGTTATATTGAAGAAACACAGCGAAAAGGCCTTCCATATAGACGAATTCTTCCCTTGTTGTCTTGTTTCACAGCCGTCCCTTGACCCCTTGTTATTCTTTGTCCCTATTCATTCTTTTTCAATTCATACTTATGAACCACAGCTATGTAAAGCTCACATGATTTCGTATATTTCCCTCTGGCTTAACAGCGTGAATAGAGTCCGTTTATGAACCTTGTGTTCTGTACTGATCATTTCTATTTCCTTGTCGAGAGACTGCGTTAGCAATAGTAGTGTTTAATATATCACGACACATAAAAATGCTATGGTGAACTACAATACACATGTTCATTTGCGTGTGTGCGTGACTTTTTTTATAGCATACTTGTATTACATGTACATACATATATATTTTTTCTACAGGATTTTTTCCCGCATTTTCGGGGTCACCGATACGGTGCTCCGCATTTATTCACGCGGGCCGTTGACACGACCTCTCGACCTCATAATGTCATATATATACATATATATGTATGTGTGTGTGTAAATATATACATATATATGTATGTGTGCTGTGCGTGTGTGTATAAATGTGTACATATATATATGTGTGCGTGTGCTTGTGTGTGTGTGTGTGTGTGTTTGTGTGTGTGTGTGTGTGTGTGTGTGTGTGTGTGCAGTTATATGAATGCACACACAACCGCATATACAGCCACACACACACATATATGTGTGTAATATCTCTAATATACATGCTTACATGTATATGTGTGTGTGTTTGTGTATGTACTTATATATATGTGTATGTGTGTGTGAATGCGTGTATTCACATAAAAATATATGGGGGGATTTATTGATAGACAGATATATAATTATTCACATTTGTTGTAGGATTTCTTCTAAATATGCATAATATTGTTTTGTCAGGACATAGAGATAACTAAACTATAGCTTTCCTATCTCTTTACTGAAGGATTGCAGATTACCTGAAAGAATAGCCAAAGCGAAGTGTGTATAATTGTAGCATATTCTTGTCTGTAACATTACTTGTGCTTTTGACAAGATGTGACACTTTGGTTATATGTATGTAATCCAATAAAGTCCTGTGGAAAGCCATCACATATATTTCCAGCTATAACGAGATGAAGGGAGAGATAGTCCAAGTTAACTGCAGGGTAATAATGTTTAGAGCTAAGGTGAAGGTTACGCCTGTGCGGCTGTGGAGTGTGGGCTGTGCCTGGACCCTGTCCATAGCAAGGCCGTTCTGAACTATATAAGATCAGATGACTTTGTCTCAAACACCAGTAATCACTGAGCCATCATGAAATCCGTAAGTAGTTCTTGGTGAAGCAATACATTATATTCATGTAACTCACTTGTTTACCCTTAGTATTGTCGGAATACATTGGAGAACAAAGTAGTCTACTGGTATTAAGGACTACAGATATATTCAGGCAAATGAGTAAAGACCGTAGCGCACTGTTTTGCTATGGCCCTTTGTAACGTATAGTACATCTTATGACCACAGCTGATCCTCGCCTGTGTCGCCGCCGTGGCCGTCGCCGCCCCTCAGTACAGCTACGATGCTCCTCGTGCTGCGTCCAGTGAGGAGCGCGAGTTCGTCCCCATCCTCAAGGATGACCGTGTTCACGA